CAGCTGATTAGCACTGACATTATAATATCACTCTTTCTGCAGACGGTCCCCGAGTTACGAACGCATCGACTTACGACCGTTCGTATTTACGACCAACCTCCTATACAGCCAGAACCTGAGTTACAAATGAAATCCGCAATTACGAACAGCGAGGCCATACGTAAGTGAATGTAATCTGACTTACGAACAGATTGAGTTACGACCAGGTGTTTGGTACATAACCCGTTTGTAAGTCGGGGACTGGCTGTATTTGGGGAACACACTTTCAAACAACATTACCAAGGAAGAAATTATACCAGTTACAACACCTTTTTTCAAAATTTGGATACCCAATATTTGGTCATAAAGATCTGGAAACTTTGGTCATGTGAAACTGAAGGTAGATAAATTCAAGTCTCATCTGCAGTAGCTTGAAGTCAATACCAGGATCTCAAAAGAGTATTGGACATTACAGAAAATTTCTGTCCATATATCACAGTGGATTGTTGTTTTCAACAAAGGCCTCCATTTTCAAGGCGTACCACCACGCAACCCCACAGATACTGGAGAAAACACCAGCAGCAGAAAGATAAATTCATTTGCAAGAACTTATCACCCAATATTTGTAACTTGCTTTCATATGCACAGTATTATACACCCAGAAAAGGACAGTAGAACTTCAAACTTCACAGAAAAAAATCATTCTCTGAATTAAACAATAAAAACTCATATTCTGAGTCCCAAACTATGCCAAATTCAATTAATTGGAAAGTAAGGTCAGTTTATTTTAATTATTTATTATCACACTTCACAGCATATCAGCAAATATGCAGTCTCTGTGTGAAATGAAACCTCAATAAAATGATATTCCTCACTACAGCTCTATTAATTAAATCCTTACAGAAGTGTCAGGTAAAACTTCTATTTTTTATAAGAAATACTGAGGTTGTGAATTAAACTGAAAAGTAGCAAACTTCTGCTTCTTCCATTCTGTTCCTTTTTTGATACCAATTCAAGTATTCAGTTATAGGGCTCTGAGGATTCACAGAGAAGCAAAAAATGAGATACATGTTGAGAGACAGCTCTTTTGTTATCCTGCAACCAAAATTGTAGCATTTTCCTACTAAGGCAATTGCATCAGGTCTCAGCTGAATCTTTCAGACTCTAAACCAAATGTTAAAATAAAGTTAAATGTTAATGAACTATGAAGTTGTTCTTCCAGACAGAACTCTATACAACGGCCAACTTTACTTATTGTTCCATTTTGTCTTTTTATACTGGTTCATCCCTCTCACTTCTTTAATACAGGTTGAATCTCTCTAGTCCGGAATCCTCGGGACCTGACTAGTGCTATTGTCTAGCAGCTTTGCAAACACTTGTAAGAACCCGGAGGACATGTCGGGGTAAATCAGAGTTAAACAGCAGCACAGAACACTGAAAGCTAAGACTGGTGGCTGGAAACAAACTTTATGGGACAGTGGGAAACTTGGTCACACCGATAAGTGGACATCTGGCTAACTACAATCATGTCAGACCACAGATGTTGCCAGATCAGACAGTGGCAGACTAGAGAGGTTCAAACTGTACCTTGCTTGATTTTCCATTTTCACTATCTTTCTGCTTCTTCTGCATTGCCCCTCTATTTTAGGTCTGTGGCATCATTAACGGTTTATCAAACTATCCCTATAAATTTTCATCCTCTAATGGCAGAACTTTGTTTCTATAAAATCTCTTTGGTTACCTCTATTGCAGTCAGCATACCTCTCAAAAGGCTTGGCTTCACTGCGGCAGTTAGTTCATTTGAGTTAGCCCATAGCCTGGCTTGAGGGCAGCGAGAGGGGCCGTGCGATAACACATTCCAACTAGATCACATGATTTGACTAGCAGGACACAGAAAGAGAATTAGCATCTGATGAGTGAATGGTTGGAAACCCAAACTACCACACCCGCACTCCATTACTAGCTGCAGCATCAGCAGCACTTGAGCTTCAATTCAAACCACAGATTTAATTTAAAACATTAACTCACTCTTAGAGATTTGTGTATACACAGGAGTTGGGCAAAACTTGAGTTGTACCTGGAGCTAACAACACAGTGAAGACAAGTCCTAATTCTATGGACACTGCCCTCTTTTTCGAGTATAACATACTCCCCTAGCCACAATGTATGAAGCCTATGCTTGCCTGACTAGTTTTTATTCTTCCAGAATTTCCAATCCCAAATCACTAACTTCAGTGTAATGATTTTATAAGAGTATACAAACACTTCTGGGAAGTAAATCCCTTCTGGGAATTGATGAGGGCAGTGTGAACTACAGATATGAACTGGTAACACCCTCCCATAACCTGTTGTGGGTGGGATTAGGAGCCCGGCAGGCTGCTCCAGTCAGGCTGGAGTGGTCTCCCGCCTGGCATCGCACTTATTCATTTAATTGGTTAAACAACAGGTTGACTTGATTTTTAATGGATTCACTGATTCAACAGGATTTTACATCCTCAGTGTGAACACAACCAACAGCACTCTCCTTTCCCTCGGGGAATGCCCAGTGCACAAACCAAAATGAGTGTTCATTGGATTGGAGGGCTGAAGAGAAAGTACATTAGGAGTGGAAGAAGTGAAAGAACCATCGAGCAATGGCACAACTTTGGCTTTTCGAGATCTGAAGGAGACACTATTTTCTTCAGACACTCTAGATGTTTTAATTGGCTCAGTTTTCATAGCACTTTTTCATTGGGAGGGGGAAGATCATAGAATCATAGAACCATAGAGCTGGAAGAGACCTCAAAAGATCATCAAGTCCAGCCCTCTGTTCTAGGGATGGAGACTCCACTACTTCCCTAGGTAACCCATTCCAGTGCTTCACTACCCTCCTAGTGAAATAGTTTTTCCTAATATCCAATCTGGACCTCTTCCACCACAACTTGAGACCATTGCTCCTTGTTCTGCCATCTGTCCCTACGGAGAACAGCCTCTCTCCATCCTCTTTGGAACCTCCCTTCAAGAAGTTAAAGGCTGCTATCAAATCCCCCCTCACTCTTCGCTTCTGCAGACCAAACAGACCCAAGTCCCTCAGCCTCTCCTCATAAGTCATATGCTCCAGCCCCCTAATCATTTTGGTTGCCCTCCGCTGGACCCTCTCCAATGCGTCCACATCTTTTTTGTAGTGGGGGGGCTCAGAACTGGACACAATACTCCAGATGTGGCCTCACCAAAGCCGAATGAAGGGGAATAATGACATCTCTGGATCTGCTGGCAATACTCCTCTTAATGCAACCTAATATGCCATTAGCCTTCTTGGCTACAAGGGCACACTGTTGACTCATATCCAGCTTCTCATCCACTGTAACCCCCAGGTCCTTTTCTGCAGAACTGCTACTTAACTGGTTGGTCTCCAGCTTGTAACTATGTTTGGGATTCTTCCGTCCCAAGTGCAGGACTCTGCACTTGTCCTTGTTGAACCACATCAGATTTCTTGTGGCCCAATCCTCCACGTTGTCTAAGTCACTCCAGACCCTATCTCTGCCCTCAAGCGTATCTACCTCTCCCCCTAGCTTAGTGTCATCCGCAAACTTGCTGAGGGATGGCCCTCAAGATGGCCTTTGGCAAATGAGAATGTACTCTCTGAATATCCTAGGGGTTAAATGAAGTGCTGATTCCCTTTCATGACCTAAGATCAGGGATCTGTTTCTTCTACAAAGTGAAATACGTCATCAGTTGCAACAGAGAAGGCAATGGCTTTTCCCACTGGCTACAAAAGATGTAGGTGTGTCATCAAATAAAGCAAGAATTCTGAACTCAGGATTTGACAGCTAAGAGAAGGAAATGATTTTCAAATATAAAATATTTGTATTTGAAAATGAAAATATATTTATTATTTTAAGCAGAAAAATTCGGATAATGATGTTTTTCATCCCAAGGCTCTGTTGTTCTTTGAATATCTCTTCTGAACCACATTCCAGTTTGGACCATTTAAATAGAAATACATTTTTTGTAGGCAGCAGCAGTCAACCAAAATGTGAGGGATGACCCCCTATTGAGGTGGGAGGAACATCTGGGAGGAGGGTGGACTGTGAGACAGGGCCTGGACTAGCCTTATGGGGGGCAAGGAAGGAGCACTCAAGCCCTGCAAGCAGTTCTGATCCTAGCCACAACTCCACTCTGATCCCAGCCCAGCTTTGTCCCCACCTTGGCTTTGTTCCACCTCTACCGCTCTGCTCTGCCCCCAGTTGACACCTTAAAGGAACTGGGTTTTCAAAGGGCAAATGCTTCGCTTTTTTCTAATAAATATTCCCGTTCTAACATTTCTTACACTAACCACCCAAACACTGAAGCACAAACTCATTAGTCACTTTTTGAAAATTTAAGCCTGAGGATGTAGCTATTGTCTGGCATCTGTTTGGTCAGATTGGGAATGTGGTGATCAGCTGCTGAAGATTATTTTTAACAAGAGCTGATCTGCCTAATATGTTGTCTTATTGATTCTTGGCTGTGAGCAAACAGATTCAGTTCCCTCACACAGCCAACAAGAGCAGAGAGATAAAATGGGTGAGGAAATATCTTTAATTAGACCAACTACTGTGGATAAGGAAAAGCAACACAAGTTGGTCCAATAAAAGCGATTATTTCCCCCACCTTGACGCTCTAACATCCTGGGACCAATACAGTATAACCACATTGGAAAGCAATACAGGTACAACTTGGTTGAAGCTAGTCACAATCAATAGGCACATGTGGTGCTGTTGCAAACACTTGAAGCATTTAAAAAACAAAATAGAATTAAAAACTAAAAAAGTATGTTTGCTTGTAAACAGCATTGCATATTGCAGACACAGAGTCTTTACAGAGTTTCCCGCGCTATATCTGCAGCTTACACAGCCATACAAAGTAGTAAGCTTAGACTCCTAAACATGGGTAAGACACTAGAACTGCCAGGAGACCACCAGAGCAGGGAATATTTACCAAGATAAAAATCAATGGAAGTTTAAAAAAATGTTTGAGTAAAGCTTATTTTAAAATCTTACCTGATTTGCTCTTTCGAGGTCCGTCATGATCATCTCAATTTCATCAGCCCTGAGAAAACAAATGAGCACAAACACTGTTACTATATGGTGAAGAAAAGCCCCTAGGTTGTGTGTTTTCAGTCTGTTGCGCATTTTTTAACATTCATACAGAAAAATACCAGATTGAAAAAATATTTTAAAAGGACACAGTTAAGTCTGAAAGGCTAAAACTTTTCACCTACTAGTTCCATTTTGGATCTCACTTTTCCACACAGGTATGTACTTCCCTCTCAATTATTATGCCTGCTGTTCTTTTCTTATGCATAGGTACTATATAATATTTAATAAGACTGAAGAAAATTTCAGAAAATTTTGCTCCCACACTCTTTGGAGAAAGAACTGTGTGTTCTTTCCTTTATGTCCAACATCTGCAGAGATGTGGATGCTGCATAAATTATAACAAAGAAGAGCTCAAAGACTAGGGTCCGTTTCAATGCCAGAGCTGCTACAATCAAAAGCTCAAAGAATCTTGAAGAGATTGGGAAATATAATTATGCATCAGTTTGCTACTGTAGGGTCACTACCATTGTACATTTTATCTAAAAATACTTGACTTGCATACTTCAAGCAAAACACAAAATTTTTACAGTACCATATATTCCGGCGTACAAGACGACCTCTGAAGTTAAAAAACATCCCCCAAAAATCGGGGGTCGTCTTGTACGCCGGATGCCCCGCCGCCGGAGCCCCTCCGCGGCTTTGAAAGCCTCGGGGGAAGCCGGCGGGGGGGCATCCCAGGCACGCATGGGCTGCCCGCCC